GTGTGTGTGTGGGAGGGGAGGAGGGTACCATCCTGCATGTAGTGACTCACCTAAAGAAATCTGTATGGATGGAAGTCTTACGTCTATTTCAATTTCTTTATCTTACAAAGCCTTAGAGCATGGCTGGGACATTTTATTCTCTTTTTACTTTTCAGCTTTTTTGTGGTTATGGGGGAGGGGAGGGGGAGAGGTGATTCAACCCTCTGAACCCTCTCTACTGCACCACTGATAACTCATACTGGATTAACGTAGCCACTTTTCCAGCAAGCAGCGGGCAAAGCGCGCAACCACAATGGCACCTGAAAGTACGGCGGAATACTCAATATGAACATATCAGGGTCCCATGTCATGGAGCAGCTCAGACAGAAATACTGCTTAGCAAACTTTCCTTGCTAGGCAAAATCAAGCTGGGAACCAGCTACAAGTGACATGCATCAATAGAGAATTTAGCTGGTAACCTGCTGTTGCTAAGCAAAAATATTTCCGTGCTTAGCAGATTGCAGTGTTTGGCAGCTTCACCAGAACTGGCAACTGGGATGGTGGTCAAGGTAGATGACCATCGAATTCCAACATGAGCAGAGCTCTTCTCCTTCCCAATGTCTCTCCACCTACGAACATCGGTGGCATGAGTTTCTAAATGCCCAAGCTCTGATGTGCCCCAGCAAAGACACGGTGTGTCCTCTACAACTCAGGTAGATAAGCATTGTTTCAGCTATTCACTACTCCAAGGGTGCCAAGTTCTGCTAGTCTCTGGATTTGACAATACCCCCCTGGTGTCTGACACAATGACAACGTGATCCGTGACATGCAATGTTCCCTTTAGGCAATTCTGTAGCACAATGTCAATGTCAAGCCAAGCACAGGAAATTTGTCTTGACAGTGTATGTCTCACACAGAACCTCAACACATGGTTCTTCTCCGACCAAATGAACTACAGCTGTGATTTGAAAGTAACCAGATTCACTGTCAAAATAAATGTTCGCTGTGGAATTTACAAGAATCAAACCTGGAAAACAGTCTTTGAAAATGGAAGTCTTGAGACTGGATTACTCACATTCAACACCAAATAAGTCTGACGTGGTTACCTAATTTTCTGTGTATCTGATTGCGATTAATGGCAAAGCATGGTCACAAAGGTGATGACAATGAGTCAATCGGTGGCGAGCATGTCCAAGAAGTGCAAGATCATAGCATCTGGTTCTCCACTGGATGCAGCAGGGCCATGTGCTCTGCTCCTCGGATGTTGAGCTTGTGTGTTGTGTAGTAGTGTATCATGGGTGGGATGCCCTTAAACGGTTTGCTGAACTCCCCCAGGATGTAACCTTGGGAGTTGCAGACGATCTTCATGTGCATGAAGCCTTTGGCACTCCTGCAGCCCAAGGGAAAAGAAATTCAAGACAATTGCTTGTAAAGATTCAACGGGAAACAATACTTGTTCAACTTGAGAACACGAGTTGTTTCTACAAGGCACAGTTTCAGTCACATCGCTCGTTTCCTCATCGACATATTGTTCCAGTTTTGAGCGCTGCATGTTCTTGCAACAGGAATATTTTTTTGTTTAAAGAAAAATATCGAAGAAGAATATGCCCTTCTTGTGCTTACAGACATTGAGCACCATTTTGTATTAAAAAAATGAAGGACATGAACTTGTAGTTCTTCAGGGTTGCCAGCTATTCAGGAAAACGAAATTTCCTGCTTTTCCCCCGAGTTTTCCCCAATGAATGTTCAAAAGTCCTGGATAATTATTTCAGCCTATCTCCAGTTTGAAACATCTTCAATGTTGTTGAAGACCTGTCAAACGTGAACAAAATGTGACAGACTTTCTCTCTGGGGCCAATCAAATCCCCTAAGTGTTCCCTGTTAGGGGAATTTTTTCTTGAATTCCCCGACTTTTACCTGACTGGAAAATGGATAACTCATTTTCCAGGTTTTCCCCTGATAGCTTGGATGGCTGGAAACCCTGATATTTTATGATGTGGGCAGCTCTGAAGACAATTTTTTAATCCAAATTTTTATCCTGGGAAGCATATTAAAACAATCAGGTTGAAATGAATCAATTACATATTCCCTCATTCACATATATTTTAATATTTTTGATTATTGCAAAGTAAGGGCATCAATCCCTTGGAAAGTGGGGGACATAGCCCTAAACAGAACAAATGTGAGCGTGAAGCTTTGAGCTGCGTGGAGTCTGTGGCCTGCTCAGGGGCCCTGGAAAATTTTTGAGTACAGATGCTCTGTGGGGTGATCTGAGACAATTCTTGGTTACTTTAGCAATTTTTTTAAACAACTGCTTTTGTAAACTGTACATTTCCATTTAGGTTTGGAAAAAGTGTGTGGGGGGGCGACAATTGATAGAGTACCCCCCCACTTGGAAAAGTGGGGGGGGGGGTAACATGTCCCCGCTCTCCCACCGATTGACGCCCTTATTGCAAAGTCTAAGCTACTCGTGAGAGCTCAAATCAAAAGAAACCAATTTCTGGCATCTGTGAGCTACTGAAATAAGGCAGTATCCTTCAACTCTGACCACTTTGAATGTTGTACTGGAAATAATGCCTGCTCGACTTGAAAAGCACAAAATGTTCTTACACGGCACAGTTTTAAAAACATGACATAGTCTCTTGTCAACACCCTGTTCCAGTTTTGAGTACTGCTTGTTCCTGCTACGAATGTGTTGTCTTTTAAAAGATGCATATCCATGGCAACAGGAACTCTTTTGGTTGGATACTGTTGCTACAAAAACAAAAGCCTCTTCTTTTGCTTTTCTGATTTAAGGTGAGGTCATATCAGTTTGAACCACACCCAACTGCACACATAGTTACATGAAACCACGGAACTGGAGCTCAACATGAGTGTTCATTTAATTAGGTGCTTGTAATCAGTAGTGTATACATATGAATGAGGAAGTCACTTACAAACCGGATAGACATGTAGTACCATTTTACCTGTGTGGCAATCTGTGCATAAACTTAATAAATGGTTGGCAAAAGTTTTCTTGCCCAACTGGCAAATGATCTTTACATGACCATTTTGATGGCATCTTTTGCCTGAACTGTTTAATAAAAATCATGCATCACGATACATAATAAACTTCAAGCTCTCTGAGTCATGATTTTGGCTTTGCCAGAGATGAGGCCCAGCAGTTACAGTTTGTAACTCCCATGCGTTCGGTGGCAGTTTTGATTGGAGCTGCTTCTTACATGTTGAATGAATCACTTAACTCCTACTTGGCTCTCTCTCTCCACCCAGGAGTAGGACTGGATACCTGTGAGGGTAGAGATGGTTGTTGTGTTGTTGGCTGTGTGGGCCTGTGATGTCAACAGTTAACTGTGTATTCCCCCCAGGGTGCTGAGATGGTTTCAGGAAACGCATACGGTCCCACTGGGCAGGGACAATAATGATGCAGCACTTTGAGCATCACTGGTGGTGCTTGTGTACACTTCGTGTGATCATTAGGGTGGCCATCTATTCGCTCTTTGCACGCTGCCGCAACGGGCAGGCACAGCCTCGATCTGGCAGCTAGTAGAATCGTGTCAATGTAGCTTTTCAGATATTGTCCAATAGCATGGTACCGGTATAAGAGGTGATGCAGCACATACAGATTTACTACATGTAAACAACATACACGGGAATCACTGAACCGGCTAGTGTGAAGATCAAGATCGAGCCTGTGTGTGTCTGTGGCAGCAGCGTGCAAAGAGTGAATAGACCGATCTGGTGACGAGAATCAGGAGCTAACAACTGCGGTGGCCCCACGCGCGTGTGCAAATGACATGCGCATTGAAATGCTTCCTCAGCCAATGGGGGCACGCAGCTAACCAAAATCATGCATGCGTTAAGTTTAGGGATGCACGCCTTAAGGACACGGAAACCGCAAGAACATGTAATGGCGTTAGCGAATCAGTCTATAGTTTGCCAACCTGCGGTTTGCACAAAATGATGCTGTGATGTTGCAAATGAAAGTTAACAACCATTTCACGGTCCCATTGTAACCTGTGTTGTAGTCAAGACCCCACGAGACCATCACAAGACCAAGACAAGGCCTCCAATCTGAATTCAAGTCAAAAGCCGATCCAGGACAACTGTACCAAAAGCACTCCACTGTTACTTTCCGCCCCATTCCTTGTGACCGGTCTCGTGATGGTCTGGACTACAACACTGATTGCGACTGAAACAATGATGCCGCTCACTTGAGGGAGAGAGAGTAGTCCTTCTGAGCACTTTCACTCTGTCTGACCAGGTAGCTGCATTCCTTGCACGGCTTCAAGAGCTTCTCGGCTTCTAGTCTGGATAACTTGCCGTGGTAGAAGCTGTAGGAATTAAAACAGACAACAACAAAAGCACAAAATTTGCTTAAGCCGGAAAAAACTTTGCTTAGTCAACACAGGTTACCAGCTAAAACTCAATCAGATTGTCATGCTAACCAAAAAGACAGCTAAATACAATCCCAAAACAATATACATCACATGGAGTTTTGGCTGGTTACCTGATTTATCAAGTAAGGTTTTCTCGCGCTGAAGCAAATTTTGTGCTTAAGCAGCTCTATGAAATTGGCCCCTGGTTAGTGTGTTGGACAATTCCTTCCCAAGAGAGGGGACAACAAATCTTTGAACTGGTGTCTGTAAAAATTCAGTAAACACATCCTACATATCAGTGAACAACTGGCAGTGGAAGGGGTGGAGGGGGGAGGTGTGGCCACTGACCCCCACCCCACTTTTTCCCAGGGGGGGAGATAATGGTCCCAACTTGGCAGGTACAGTATGGCTGATGCAAGAATGGTCTTACAAATGTCCCTTACAAAATTGTTCCCTTGTGTGGTCAATGTTCTAGGCATCACTGGTGTAAATCCAGGAGAAAAGGGGGGGGAGTGGCCGTGGAACCAGGTGCCATGGTATTCAGGCAATTTGGGGGGATATTGGTGAGTATGGGAGAATGAGTTTTGAGGTTATTTATCATTCCTTTCTACCCAGAGGTGTAAAAAGCTCTTAAACTTATTTTCACCTTTCCAAAAGACCAAAAAGGTTCCATAAAGAAGTCTTCAAATTTTTGCGGCTTCCCCACCCCCAAAAGAATTGGTTTTGCACCTGCCCCCATGATATCCAACTCTCAAACAACTGACTCCATGTAGAAACTGTAGATGGCCAGTGTTGCCTGCTCACATGTGACACTGAAACAGGTACCAAAGCCACAAGGAAACGTCACAAATAGATTCCACAGCATCTGCACGGGAGACCATGGACATCAGAGCGAAAGCTCAAGGACGTGATCCTGCTCAAGTGCCCTTCCATGCTTAGGCTCTTTGTCAATTTCCCTCATGAGTGGGTACTAATGAATGATTACGTAGAAGCAGGTGGCATGTACATTAGCCAGTAATAATGATTTTCATTTACGTAAGTGCTGATCAGTTTTCCTTGTGTATTTACCATTCAATACCATGACCCATGAAACCGTTCAGTTGAAGTTTAACAATAATGCAACAACTAGCACGCTGAACTACGTAAGGCTGAGTGTCACATTCCTCAATGTTTGTGCCCACATTTGACAGCGACTTTAACTACAAATTACTGGAATTCACTTGATTCTTACAAAGGTAGGGTTCTTGTCTTCTGGACTAAAAAAATATAAATGATTTTGAAAGCTGTAGTTCACGCCGCTGAGCACCATCATAAACACATCACCAAAGAAATTACTGAGGTACATGTAGGCCTCGGGTGCATCGGCGACCATAAATTGCCGTACCAAATGACCACTATACACGACATCCTTTGCATACCCCGTTGTGCTTGATAACTCAGATGCAAAACTGATGCAAAACTAGAACCAGTTAATGGGGGAAAAAGGGCCTTAACCACTTGCCCGTGGTATTATTCCTCTATATGGTGTCGGGGATTTTATGGCTTTTGACACACCTGAACAAAGATATTGACAAATGGGAGCAGTCACCAAAACTGGACTGGGAAAATCAGTTTTTAAAGAACTGGTACAGTGCTCTGGAGGTTGTAGGTTTGATTCCTGCTCCAGTAAATTTTTTTTGTTCATCTTTTTAATTTATGTGTACATGTAAGCACCTAGTCGGTACCCTGTATGGTGAGTTTGATGGGCAACATTATTCAGTGACAAACTTAGCCTAAATGTGGTATTATTTTCGGCCGAAAACACAGACTTTTTTTACAAATGGCATGATTCCATGGCCACAGTCCCTTACAAAGTTGGGCTTGACAAATACTGTCACTTGGTGGTCAATTGTTCAAGATTTGTGTCATGTTTCTTGCTGCATTACTAGTTTTTAAACTACAAGACAACGTCACGGAGCAATATTTGCTACCATGCCTGGCATTGGCCACTTGAGGGCTCCATCCACACTATGTGGTATGAGCCTGTGTTTGTCCAAACTTGGTGCGAATAAACCGATTATGCTCGTTAAGTCACATGACCTACATGTATAGTGGGAATCAAATGTCAATCAACATGGCGTCTTTCAATAGCGAAGTGTGTTTTGTGTTGTTTACCAAAAATAAAGCAGATTTTGGGTTTTGTACTCAGCAAATCATAAATCTGAGTAATTTACCGACCGTTGCCTTTACTTTTGGTAAATTACACCCATGATGCTCTTTGCTATGGAATTACACCATGTCTGTTGACGTCTGACATCCATTATAGATCACGTGGCTTAGCGGGTGCAATCAGTCTCTCACTAGAGCATGGGGACAAGTACAGACATTAGCCAGTGCTGTATACAGAATTCACCGGAGTGGGTTTAAATGTTCTCTGTGTTACTGACACAAAAATCCCTACAGGTTTACACATCATTTGGTGTGAAGTGATAAAGACTAATTTTGTGGGATCGGGTCACCCACGACCCCCCTCCCACTGGCTTGTCAGCCCCTTCTGTCAGTCCTCACCTCTGCTCGTCCAGGCTGAGGTTAGGATCGATCTTCTCCCCTTGCACCTCATGTTTGTGCCTCAGCTCCAGCTTCAGCTCCGTGTTGAGCTTCCGCGGTGAGCCCCGCCTCAAGTTGTCGGGCGTCGACGCCCCCGACCTCGACACCAGGCTCTGCTTCTCTTTCTCTGAAAGGCAACCCAAAAATGAACCCAATGTACTGTACACCCTCCCATTCAAGACCCTTATTTCATTTTCATGCAGTCAGAAAACATTAAGGCACCTTTCAGTTTTTTTTTTTTAGTGCACTCCGTACGCAAAATTTGCAGAGAGTGTTCATTAAAGTTTTATAGGAGTAAAATGCAGCAAATGAATGCAGATTGAGGTTGGACTGAAAAAACTTATGGCAAGGCAGCCTTTGACGGTGAGTACATGTACAAGAGAGTGAGATTTCAAAGCTTGCATATTCAAGGAAGCAGGTTGAAACACCTATGGAAACCTTGATTATTGTACGACTTGGTGCATCATATGCACTGCAGCTTAAATGCCTGCTTTGAAGGGTGGTTTTCTCAGAAGTAACTTTGAAGATTTCCACCCACCGGCATCTGATACATGAACCGTCACCAGCTTCTGACAAAGGAGTCTTGGCTTAACTGTTTTTTTTTTTTTGGACAAGGGCAGATGAAAGGAAGCCTTGATTGAAAGTACAAAACCTATATAACCTATGTAACCAAGTTTCTTAAATGAGAATAATTTAGAAAGGAAAATGTTCTTAATTTCGTATCGCTGCATATCTATTGCAATATTATGGGTATGTTCACAGCTGAGATGTCAACAGCTCTGATATGAAGGGATTTTCATAATTTTTTTGGGAAACAACAGACAACATTAGATAATGTTTGATATTTGTTCACATTTGGGAAAACCAGCTGTTGATTTTGATCAGCATGCAGCATGCACCTCAAACACTAAGTGTTTAATTTTCTGGATATGTAATTTATATCTCTACTTTCAGAAAAAAAGGAAGAAAATCTATTTCTTCCTTTAATGCAAAACTACCAAAATCCTGAAAGGTTGCTAAGAATGAGTATTTCTGCGTGTACCACACCCGCCACAAAACTGCCACGCTGTTCAATTTCAGACGGGTCTCACTCAACCCAAAGATCCCGTTTTTGCATGCTGCTGGCTGCACAGTATCAACAGAGGGCGCTCTGAATGGAAACCAAGGACGCTACTCTTTACCCCCACCTGTCAAGACCTGCGACATTTGCCTATTCTTCTGTATCCATTCCCAGGGCTGGTCATAATCATCCTGTGGTCGGGTGTCGCTATCTGGACTGGTTCGGTTGATCCCGCCCAGGTGCGCGACATCGGACTTACTCCGTGACCGCTTAAACTCACCGCCTGGTGACTCCGGCGGTAGCCGGGGGAGGGCAGGGGACCGCCACTCCCACGGGTTGTCGTATTCTCCCTGTGGCCTCATGTCGTTCTGGGGTGTCTGGTCGGGGGCAGGGGACAGGGGCGGGTCCGACAGCAAAGCCGTGCCATTCTCCTGGGGGTCCTTGGTGGCCCCGGATGCTGCCTCCTCTGTAACGTTTATCTCCTCCCAGAACTGATGCTCCTCTGCAATCTCGCCTGCTGACGTCCGCCTGGGGATCTCACTGGTGTCTGGCGGTTCCTCATATTGATGCTGGTGTTGTCTCACTGATGATTTGCCTTTGGAGGGTGGAGGTTGCTTCTTAAGATCTGAAAACAAGCAAGCAAACCTACATGATTGAACCTGTTTCAGTACGAAATCCCTGTGGCAAGTTGGCCAATTATCGAACCAAAGACATTTTGCTAGTTCTACAGAACTAGCCAATTAAAATGGGTAAGATAGGAACATTAATTTGTCCCACAAACTTGTACCAGTTTTAAAACACTGTGACTTAAAAGCAAATGCACATTAAAGTCCATGCACTTCCCCTAAATTAGAGTCCCTCTTGACAAGTTGTACAAATTCCCCTTATGAAAGTAAACTACTCTATACTGCTTAGGGCAGCAAGCTCCACCAGCAACTGTAGCTTGACAGCCGGTCACTTGCTTTAACAATGTGCAGGTGCAAGACAGTCCCAACCAAACCACCCTGATCCTAGCATTTTTGTGAGGTTCCCTCACCACAAACACTTTGCCGAGATGAACACATCTCCATGTGCTCTACGATCTGGCCACTTTTCCATGGCAGTGATTCTCCTCTGTACTTACAAGTACATGTACATGTAAAACGGTTAATGATAACCAATGGTGCAACCATACCAATTGGTCTGGTACCGAGCCACTGGACTAGTCCAACCATCCAACTATGGTTAGCTATAGTTGCCAACTGAACTTGCCTGAGACACTCTTATCCACGAGCCAACAAGAAGGCAATGCACAATTACTATGTCTCTTCAAAGCAAACTCCAGCATTACCATTCAGCCTATCTTTACTGTTGTCCTTGTGCTGACAGCAGTGAAACTAATTGGAAATGTTAGGGAACAATCCATGAACATCAGAGACATGCTTGGTTCTTACAGCTGAAACAATCTCAGGAGATGTCTGGGTCATAAAGTACAGGGACCGGTACATGTGCATGTATGAATGTCATCATCCATTGTCCAGACATGTTTGGTACATGTACATGCACATGTACTTTCAAGGCAATTATTGTGCTTACTACCAAAATACTCAGTTGTTTTATTGTGAAAAAAACAAGAGAAATATTGATGACATAGTACTGGTATTCAGGTGGCCTGAAGTCTTTAATTCTGTTTGTTACATGTATGCATTATTGCATTATCCAATGTCTGCATGCAGCACTAAATACAGATGTGGTAGTAAACTTGACTCTTAGAAACCACTAGACCACATTTCTGCTTTAGTCAAACAACATGCATTGATGCTTAGACTTGGTACTGGGAAGTTTAATTTCACTATCTTTCAACATCCCCCCCCCAGAAAAAACACAAACACTGACAAAGGTATGATGCAGGCCATGCTTGAAGCTCAGTATCAAATACGAACATGCATTACCATGTCATATGAGCTTCTCACACACATCAGCTCACCCAAGTAAACACGCTCACAAAAAAAGAGATTTACACAGCAAGAGAAATAGGAGGATCAAAACAAGAAGAGGGAGCTTCCCTACTTATGGGACAAGCCAGCGTGCAGTGTAAGAGATAGACACTGGTGAAACTGAAAGAAACTAAGAACAGGTGATATCGAAAAACAACAGACTCAACTTGAAACTTAGCCATTACCAGAAAAAGGAATTTCCCACCTGGCACCAGATATCAATAGCACATGAATGTTAATTTATATAACGGGTTTTGCCCTTACCCAACGTATATATTAACGTTTATATTAACATCTCCTCAATGCAAAAATACATCTTGAAAATAGCACATGAATGATAAACCACCCTTCCTGCTATGCACAAGCAATTACATTTAGCGATCACTTAGTTAAAACAACATGGTACCAAGACTGGGAGATAAGCCTGTGGACTGACAACAGGAAGTGATGAATGGGCACCCAGAAACAAATCAGCAAATCCATAACAGGAGTTCACTTTCAACACACAAATACATGCAAACCATACAAGCATGTACGTATCTGTGACACAAGTGACAAATCCGCGGAGCTAATTTTTGAGTTAAAGGCCTTTGAAAGAATCTGACCATGATGCGCGACAGGAACCTCAAAAGTTTCCCCCACGTACGTGTAATGTTCATTCTCACCAGGATGTCAAACTGGGTGATAAACACTTGTATCAAAAAACAAAGAAAAAAACCCCCCAAAAAAACAAAAAAATCCACATTTCTTCATGAATCAAAATTCTTGGAAATAAACTTCAGGTCTCATATTGTGGGATCCAGTCACAATGTAACCCAAATCACTGGACAGCCGCTTACATCTGGACACCAGGTCAGTTTTGCAATATTGCGATGGATCAAGGACTACATGTACATCTGGGTACAGCCAATCGGCTATACTTCCCAAATGCAGGCTTACACATGTCATTTCCTAATTTCGTTGGCGCACAGAGAAGAAAACTACACCTGTGTTGCATTGTGGGAAATTCTAGACTATTCCTGGGCAGAATGCCGCGTGGTTGGGGTGAACAGACAATGTTAAGAAAACTGCAACAACTGTCCGAATCAATGTGTAGTTAAAATGTAGACTAATGAAAAGTCTGTAATTAATTATGATTTTTTTAATGAGCACTACTGGTAAAAATGGTATTGATACACTGTCATGTACATGTATGTGGGCTTTGTATGCATCTCTGGGTACCAGCACAGGAAGATAAAACTGATCTCATGCAGACAACAAGACAGTTGCATGTACAGAATTAATATAAACTGCAAAAGGACATTTTTTGTTTATAGCTATTTTTTGGGGCAGGGGGGGTGTATTCTTTTTCAACAGGCTTATTCAGACAAAACACATCGCGAATGCCATTTAAGGTGTCTGTCTAAAAATTCTGATCAAATATGTCAATTGCACCAAGGCGACAGCATCACACTGAGTGTTGACAACGCGCCAACTTTACCAGGGTGACAAACAACTTCCAATGCCATTGCAATGCGACTGTGAAAAATTTCAGAACCCTGGGTGATGAACTTAACAGGCGCCTTCTGAAACGCACTGCAGTCTATACTGAATGGCGAATAAATGTGGGGGTGGGCGGGGGGACGCATTATGTTCCTGCGTGATAAGGCTGGATTGTGCAATTAAGTCATGTGTGCATATTATATGGTGGTAAAAATCTGCAAAGGCGACAAAATGTCTGCCATGGGTCAAATACAAGGACGTACATGTACGCTACACTGAAAACAAAATGTGCAAAACTGAGCACATGTATGCATTTCTCATCATTATTTTTTCAGCCCGTTCGAGTAACAATTTACTTTTCTATTCAATTGCTGTACATGCTGTCCAGGTGAATTTGTGAACGTCTGAGAGAAATGCCCGCCATACATATAGTTGAGATCGTATGGTAAACGTGGTGGATAGTAGGCATATGTAAGTGTACATGTATTTCTCATCAAAGGCAAAAAACAGTGCACGTGATGCAAACAGGAGCAAATACACTGTACACGTATGCATGTCTACATGTGGACAACATCATGATTCACAAGACTGCATCGTATTCCCTACAACAAAGTGGCTGAAAAACTCACTACTCCCAAACAAGCACCAGACACAATCTAACAGACACAAAAGACTGTAGATGGCATGGGAAGCGGATGGTGTGTGTGGTTTCCTGTTGATGTGGTCCATGTCAACTAATGCAACCCTGGTCCACTAGTTGCACAAGGACATATTCAAGTACGTGTTGGGCAACTGCTGACAAACAGCTGGGATGCCTGGCCGGCCCGCATGGATTTCCAAACAAGTGTACTTATTAAATAGCCCACTGGCATCTACACATGTAACTCAACAATACTTCATCCATCCTCATTAGCAACATAACCAGTGCCACAAACTTCTAGTGATGTAAACGGCCTCTTATAACCATGTACATGTACAATGTACTAGTACCGCTACGTGTGCATTTTTTGAGTTACATGTAAGGTGCAACCACTGATTTCAATTTATATTGTCAACACTTGTTTCTGAGAGTTCCTGGATACTTTTTACTGTGAAGCATAGATGTACATGTAGTTTCTTGAATGGTGAAATGAGGGTAAAATTGCCTTTTTACGTATTTATCACATGGATTACATAATTAATGCCTTTCATATACTGGTTTGAGGATGATGTGCTCTGTGGAGTTGGTCTGGGGTTGTCTACGCAGTTTTTCTGATTTTTGTTCTTTAAAAGTGAGTTTGTTTCATTAATAAAATTACACCCGAGTTCAGTCTTACTGCTGCACTGCCTGTTGTTGCCTCGGATGACACAGTTTGTTTTGAATTGTTGGCAGAAGTGGGGGAGCTGCTTATGAGACAATTGTGGAAGCCCGCACGGGGTTTCCACTTTCCAGTCATTATTTCAATCAAAGTCTACCTTTGAAATAAACATGCACTGTGGCATGTTCGATGCTTTTGATCTTCCTGGAAAGGACAAAGATTCTGTTTGTTCAAATCTGCCCATTAAGCTGCAAAACTGGAGCTGCAGGTTGAAACAGGAAATGCCTCAGAACAAATCACACACAAAAAGGTACCATTTCTTTGGTGAAATGCCAACACAGGTCATGAATACATCGTTCGTGTCCAATCTCTGTTCAGCTTTTCAACCTCGTGTCATGCTCGAGTTGTTGTCGAGCAAGCTGAAGAGCCACTCTTCCTTCAAAACTCAAGAATGATGATGAATAATGCGAGAATGAAGAATGACAAAATACGAACGTTCCATATGGACCACACAATAAGATTCGGGACAACTTGAAGATAATAACTGTATTGAATACTGACCAGGAAAAGCAGAGCTACAATAACATTATGCACAACTTGGAAAAATAAAAACTTTGCATTTGCACAATATTCACATCAAGTACATACAAGGACCGGTAGGGATAAATATGCGCATGCATAATTGGGTCATTGGCTTGAAACAGAACAATAATTAGTAAATAAGGATCATGCATCATGCTCATCTAATTACGGTACCATTAGAAATCATTCAGCTATGAACTGTGTTGACAGACCATGCAAGCCAGCGCATCCATTATGCATATTATATCAAAATATACACAGTGCCATATGGAAACCTGCAGTCACTCAGACACCGGGGCACGCAGGTGTGCCAGGCAGCTGTGATAGAGCCAGCAGGGACGTTGTGTAAACTATGGCCCCCAGAAAGTTTGGATTCAACCTAAAATTCTACTTCAAGGCTTCAATCCCAAAATGCTCCTCTGGGCATGGAAATCAGAATGAGTGCATTTATCCCAATGAATAGTTTTCCACAGGAAGCTTGCAACTTAATGGCTGCACAAAAACAACAGGCAAACCTTCAAATTATCATCATGCTAAGAATGAAACTAACTTTCTTGCTTCATGCCAAATTGCAACTTTGGAGCAACTAGTCACTTTAAAATGGAACCTTTCTCCATTCAAAGATGGTAAGAGTAGCATAGTATGGCAATGCGTCTTCAAACAAAAGAATTACATGCTGAAGCCCTTCAAAAGGCTCAAAGTTAGCACATTTAACTTTCTTCTGCTTTTCACTGGTAATCAGCAACTGTGCATACATGTACAGGTAACATACTAGCCCGGAGTGCCATTTCGACGGAGAGTAAATACTCAGTTACTTAGATTTAGTTCTTTCATGCTGGGGTCACAAGTCAATCCCTAGACTCTTTTGAGTGTAAAGGAACCAGGAAATGGAAATATTTTTATACATTTTACTAAAAACCCTTGAAATTGCATCTTTAGGTTTCCATTAACCTTATTTAAATTTCTGTTTTGCAACTTTAACCCATATTTTGATGCTTTTGGTTTTTATGCTAATGCATACATGTATTTGCATATTCATGGCAGAACTAACATGTCATCTGTGGCACTGATCTCAATGTTACACTGATTTGTGCACAAACATTTCTAAATTTTTTTAACCACTGCTATGGCAGATTTCATTTTCTTTGGCAATTTATTGCTGTATAAGTATATGGCAATAATCCGGCAAAAATTCTTTTCACAGAAATGTTCCCAGATAGCAAAATAGTGGTTCACATTTTGAACATGAAAACATGCAACCCAACCTGAACCATGTTTTCCTGGATTTACATCAAAGCAAAAGTGCCCTCTCTTGTCCAGAAATGCTTGGCCAATTTTTAATGTTGGAAAAAGTGCACCGTTCAGTTCACTTAACTCAAAAAAGATGTCAAACAGTCTTCATATATGGAAGAAGAGTACAGAGACACACAAAAAGTGATTCTAAGAAAAATTCATTTCCTGGAACCTTTAGCTTTATATTCCTTGGGTCTCACTTCAAACTTTATCCCCAAGTATGCATTCATTTTAGGGACAGGCTAAATACTTGTGATATTTTCTTTCCTCAAGGAATCAAGTGAGAAAAAGACACAGCCAAATGTGGAGTTGGGAGACAAAAACTGATGGTTTGTTCTCAGGGAAAGCTGCACATTTTCACAGTTGAAACTGACAATATCATTCCACACAGCCAGCAGGTGGGATTTCAACTAGGGTCATCATCATCAGCAACAACAGAACCAGGGAGGCATCAGTGATAATGGGTGCTTGGACTGTGTGTCTCATTTCTGAGCCGAAATGAACCCGTTTTAGTGACAGAGACATGAACTTGTGTGCGTGTACACATGACTGTGTTGTCTTGTGCCGTGTGTACACAGTGGCAGGATCCAGGTTCATTATGGCTGCACTCGCATGTGCCACTCTCAGTATTCGGGGCAGCAGGCAAATGTTCTCAGATCACACCGCATGAACAGCAACGCTTACCTTTCTGTGATCTTGAAAAAACCACGTGATTTAAAAGCATACCCCTGGCCTGATCAAGAGTATGTCATTGCTCACCCGTGAGTTATACTGCTGTCCATGCACCCATGAATAAACAGAAGTGTAAGGGAGAAACAGGAATCGAAGGGAATATGCGGACCTAGGTTCTCCTTCTCTATATTCCTATGTGCCGGTAAATTCCAATGAATCTACATCAACCACTCTCACCACTCCACATGCATGCAACTGAGGTTTCTCTGAGAGGCAGAAAAAAAAATGCGTCCAGGAGACTTCATACTTACGTTTGATAACATCGTATGGTAAAGAATAGTCATCCTCTGGGATGGCCATTCGATTGGGATCCCATCCTTCTTCTGGGATGTGATGTTTGGTTTCTACGGCAACGTTAGTGTGCAAGCAAGGGTGAACAATGCAATAAAAAGTGAGAAGTCAGTCAGCGTGGGTGGGGAGTCGGTCGGATGCTTTCTTGCTCCCGAGTGTGAATTGGTTGATAATTGACAAAGCCTCCTCCTTGAGATGGGAGATATTATTTGGATTCCAGCTAGACGGAATGCCACATATCAATGCGGCATCTGCACACATGTACATGTACTTGTTTGCCGTTACATATGAATATTCTGTCTGTAGTCAAAATCTGCACCTGGTTGTCATTATGTGGGATAAAGTCTTTCTTATGTCCAATCCCCCATTCCCTGCTGACAAGAGAAGCCAAGTTTTGTTGTTAGCCTTATTTTTGATTCAGCACCGTGAAGTCAGCCAAGTCGGCATCAGAAATTTCAACGATGAAAATTTCATATCATGATCAAAATCAGTGGAATTAGTAGACTTGCTCAGATTCATGATCAAATTTGAGGTGCTAGGATTCATGATCTGATTTGATGTGCTAGGATTCATGATCTGATTTGATGTGCTAGGATTCATGATCTGATTTGATGTGCTAGGATTCATGATCTGATTTGATGTGCTAGGATTCATGATCTGATTTGATGTGCTAGGATTCATGATCTGATTTGATGTGCTAGGATTCATGATCTGATTTGATGTGCTAGGATTCATGATCTGATTTGATGTGCTAGGATTCATGATCTGATTTGATGAGGCATGCAGAGAGAGAGAGAACAATCTTCAATTCAGAGTTTCATTCCGAAAGATTACAGCCATAATTTTCCTCGTCAGACTGCAAAACAACAGCTTTAGCCCTGCACACTGCAGATCAGGATAAATCCTATGCAACTTGCAGTTTCAAGTTAATCCATTCTGACCTCAACAATTAAATCTGTCTCGCAGTTGCTCATTTCTCATGAATCATTCCTTTTGATTCAGTTTTGCTTTGTTGGGGGCATGCAAACTTACTTTTGACAATATCATACGGCAAGCTATAATCATCATCTGCGTAGGGCTGATTGGGGATGGGGCCGTCTTCTGGCAAGAGGCCAGATCGCATCTCTTGAGAAGCAAGGCAGCAACCATTGAGGAAACAGAGCAGAGATTAGTGGTTATACGACATTAAAGTTAATAGCAAATGGCACTGACTGTAATACTGCATTAACCAGTCTAGTTTGAGTAGCAGGAAGCCTGAGGCCAAGCAAAAAATTGGTTGTGTTTCTACTACACTAGAAATTTGAGTTGGCAGATATTGGTAAAATAAGATCTTTCTTTTTTTCTGGAGAGGAAGAGCTTTAAATACTTTAGCTGAAAATGATCAAAGTAGAATTACTATCAAGATCTTTTGTTTCTGGTGCACTCATATGACTGCCCCTCATGTAACTCAAACTGCCAGATTTAATCAGCTCTGAATATTTACAAGTTAGTCTTAATATAAAAAACAGATACTTGTGGATACATGTAGTACATAAGAATGAGCGAATCTTTTTCAAGTAAAAAATACATGTAGCTGAAATATTTTTTTAAAATGAAGGGCAATCTACACAAAAATGGGCGACGGGTTGGATACCAGAAGTGTAACATTTTTATTTCACTTTGAAGTAAAAGATACGGCATCTAGTTTATTTTCTAGGTTTGCTGATCCGAAACACAACCATTCTTTCGTCTTTGGCCTACATGTAACCTGTAGAATCACTAGCAAGCAAAGAGAAATAGTGTTCAGGCTGTTTACTACTTTTCTTGGGGAGAGCACACGGGTGAGTGGGAGTAGAAAGAGAAAGTTTCAATGGAAACCTGCAAGGCACTGCATGAAAGCCACAAGCTCATAGCACGTGTTTGGAGTGTCCCAATGCAAACAAAGCTGAGCTGAGCCATTAGTTATATTAGTTTGCAAATGTTCAAGACACCAAAATGTCTCTTGTTATTGGGCAAAAGACGTAGGAAACATTAATGAGGGTTTTGGCCGGCCACAGAGTGTTAGAAAGTTCAACAATATTTCACTTATATGTTTTCATTCAAAATGCTTACAAAGTAAAATTTATTTTTGTACACATACTGCAAAGATCATTTATGTAAAACGCTTGTATTAAAAACAAAAAATGACTTCACTAAACCCACAACAACAATGTATCATAAACTGTCTCCATGTACTTCTGCACATTACCATGAACTCTTTATGCACCCAGTATACTATAAATACATCATAACGGTGTTCCAAAATAGCAATGGAAATGAACTAATTAGCTGATCATTCGCATGATATCCTCGACACGCATGAAGCTACATGTAATGTTAACACAGGGGTGCTAAGGCCTCTTATCGGTTTTCTGGTCCTGAGATCAAAGAGATAACTCGCCAAATTGACAAGAGGTGACAACCCGCGCTGATGACACCCGAACACTGCTGACTTACGTTTGATCATTTCGTAGGGTACCGAGTAATCATCTTCCGCGTACGGTCTGCTGACGTTGTGGCCTTCGGTCCGGGGTGGAATGAAACCGCTCTCCATGGCTGCTTTCAGGACATCTTTGGGATCACTGTAGTCATCCAAAACGATGGGCTGCATGAGAGAACATAAACACAGACAAGAAACAATTGATGATCAAAAATTTATTTGGTTTCCCCAAATGTACTTGAAACCATTGCTTTAACCACTTCATGCTGGGGCATTTTTGAATGTTGACGATGCTGGGCTGGCATAATTATCATTTTTTCCATTTTCAAAATAAATTCTTCAAAAATTCATCATTTCATTTAACGGACGTTTATAGCCGCACGAAGTAATCTTTAGGCACTACTCTAAGTTGACAGGTGACCTTCATTGATGCCCGAGTATTTCAGCCAGGCCTGCAGCCTTGTAAAAAGAGCCCTGATTGTGCGGTGTTATGTAACTTTCTTTTGTTCACGAACCTGGCTCAGTGCACTGCTGACCTCTTTTCAATAGGGGTCAGATTAGCGTGTAACTGTGCTGTGTGGCTCATCCCTACAGTGGTGGAGCGCTTTTGTCCCCAGAGGTATCCGCTCGCGATAAAGCCCCAAACCCCGGTATACGGTTTCAAAACAAGGCTGGATTATCACCACTTTTGAGAGTGAAAAATGTTGATAATGCCCAGCAGCCTGGTCTTTTACTCGGAGTACAGTCTTTTGTTAAAGGGCCCTGTTTCCTTTGTCCGAGTTCGGAGACCCAGGCCACGCATATAAAGCACACATCTCCGATTCCGGAGTCCCCGGCAGGAAGTGGTTAATACTGTACATGTTCACTGTTACCATATCTGCTCTGAGCAGGAACAAGAGAGGTGGCATGTTTGTTCATGTACATGGCAATGACGGTCCTTTGGTGGGAGCCCAAAGTGTGCATGCTAAGGTTCACATGAGTTTCTCATGGTACGGTTTGCACTGAGCGTGCACGACCAATTTATAGAGTCTTTGAGTGTACGCTGGGCATGCGGTGTAGCCCTTCCAACCAGCCTTTCTCCTCTTTGTCAAAAACTTGTACATGAGCTGGCCAGGTGGCCCAGCTATACATGTACATCTACATGTACCTGAAAAAAAATGAAAACTTCAAAATGAAACCATACACCCTTGCCTAATTGAAGACCTGGGCACAGGATGAGCCTTTTCATTTCCTTTCCTCAATATTATGAATAATATAATTCCTTTTGGACAATGTTTCCAATCAAAACAAAGAAGTATTCTGTACCACACTTGTACGTACATGTACAGTGCATTAATTTAAATGTACATGTATTTCCTTGTTAAAAGATCTTTTATGGTATAATTACCACACTCACAAATTAAAGTATAGATGGAGGCACGGTGGAAGTCCGGCATTCACCGTACACCTGCACACCTCATAGTAATCACTGACAACATCAACACTAGAAATTGTAGGCCGAGCATTTCCTTGTACATCGCTAGTCTAATCTATAGCCAGCGGCATTTCAATCACATCCTGTGTCTGTCTCCTCTCAGTACGGTCACATACGATGACAGAGCAATGACAGCAACATCCAAGGCTAGAGCTTTCTCTATTTTCTACCAGACTCTGGCCGCTGCGAGGCATGGCCCACATCAGAACAGAAATTGAGAATTTCGTCCTTCATGCTCCCATAACTTGGATGAGGAGAAAGTGCAAGGACATATAAGTCTTAAAATGCACATGACTTACACGGTACCAGTACAGTACATGTACTGTACAGCCTGAGAAGGTGCAATGAACTTTTTACCAAATGCATTAATGTAAATGTGATTTCTTGGGCACACCACTTACACATTGAATCCTTGCGCTCCCCAATTAAGGGTGTCTTGTGAGTGAAAAGTTTTCAGGCAATCTGATCACGAGAAACCTATATTGCATGTACATGTACACATGTTTTGCTAACTGAATTTGAAGTTTTAATGGCAGTAAGCTCTGCATCCATGTCCATGTACAGTACATACATACACATGTACATGAATCCTTCAGGTGTAAGTGGGCCCGTACTCTTTGTCTATCTTGCATATGGACATGTATGTACGAGAAGTACACAACCTACTGTACAGTAACTGTATTAAGTATTTTTCCACACAATATCCCACAAATGGACTGCTACAATTCAGTATAATTATCTGTAATTCAGCATAATTAAAACTAAGCAAATGTATATATCTGTATGAGTAATTTTCATTATTTATTTACAGCACTCCTCTAGCTATAGAATCATATTATGAGTTAAATTTAAGGATTTAAATTAAATTACTTGATTAAATCACATAAGCAATAAATGTTACCACCTTTAACTTTTATAAACAGACTGAGCCCAGGTACCGGTACACACCGCTATATGTACATTGCACTGTACGTGTGGACGTACATGTACATGTACCTGTCCAAGTACATGTACATGTATGTACCTGTCCAAGTATGTACCTGTCCAAGTACATGTACATGTATGTACCTGTCCAAGTACATGTACATGTATGTACCTGTCCAAGTACATGTATGTACCTGTCCAAGTGTGTACCTGTCCAAGTACACATGTACTAAGCATGTACCTGTATGTACACCTACCAAGGGTAGTAGAATCAAGGTTTTCAACAAGGCTCCAAGTTTTGTCAAAGCATGATAGACATGTAGTTCACAGGATTTTGTTGTTTTTCAACCAGAAAACAACATGCACCATAAGAAGGAAGGACCAGTGGTTCACGTCATTTTTTCACTCACTGGTCTTCCCTGGTTGGCAACAACACCGTATACACTGTAATTTTATGACTACATGTACATGTCACGTCATTTTTTCACTCACTGGTCTTCCCTGGTTGGCAACAACACCGTATACACTGTAATTTTATGACTACATGTACAGTGTACATGTCACGTCATTTTTTCACTCACTGGTCTTCCCTGGTTGGCAACAACACCGTATACACTGTAATTTTATGACTACATGTACATGTACATTGTTTACTGCTACCGTACTTTACCAGGTTTAATTGACAGTTGAAGACCTTAGATTGTCATTTTACATAATGATTATAAATCATTCGTTGAATCCAAAAAGTTGTTCTGAATTAAAACAACTTCAGTGACTTGAGCTACATGGGAAAAACCCTGCCGACCCAGATTACTTGATATCCATGTGCGTACACGTACAGTAACAATAATAATAATGACAATTTATAGAGTACACAGATCCACCAAGGTGCTCAAGTCGCTCGTACAATGAAATTAATTAAATACCTCACTGAAGAGAGGAGTCTTTAGTATGTACTAAAGGCTCAGTAAAGTGTATAATTTGCCATTTAAAATGTGTGAAATCTGGAAAAAATCTGTGAATCATCTGGGAAAAAATGAAAGTTTTGCCACTACTGACAAAAATTGTTGATTTAAATCAAAGATGAAGTAAAAATTACTTGATTTAAGCCAACCTTGATAAAAGCCAGTAAACGTATGTAAGCGTAGATGTAGGTTTGCCAGGATTTTACATGGTGTTAGAGCAAACCTTTTACCTGTACATACTATGCACCTTTATCCGCCACCTTCACCATGAAAAACTTTGAATCTCATTCTCCAATGTTTAGTTGTTTCATTCTGCCGAGCTGGGACCCATTCAGCATTATATGTACGCCTAATGTGAACAAAACCTTTCTGACAAGAATATCAAATAGAATCTAAAAGCTTTATGCTATTAACTGTGACAGTTTGGGGTGTATCTACGCCCTGCACTTGAATACAATGTCTCCTGGCCCAACATCTACTCATGGGCTTTTAGCGTCACACAACCAAAACCCACGTGCTGGGTGCACTTTTCACAACAAAGGCAGGACATTTATACAGGCAGTCCTGCTCAGGGTTTTCTATGCCTGCTTGATGCATTCCTAAATCAAGGCACACATGTACATATATGCCCACAAGGAAGTATGACATCATTCAATGCTCCCAAAAATAGAACATGGACACAGGTTTTTGTCCACGGTTGTAATGCAGCACACAGGGCAGTCTGTATGCACGTACGTGTACATGTACATGTACGTACACATTTTCCCAAGCACAAAATGAGACAAACTGATTTCCTAGGTAACATATTCCAAAAGATAATTGAAGACTAAGGTGGCGTTTGTCATCGTTTGTAAAGACTATGTGTACATGCATCTACCAGTATTTAGGGCTGAATTAATTAAACCAATTTTCATGGGATTTTTTACGTGATGATGTAATAAATGAGAAACAAGAAATTGAGGGTGACTAAAATTCATAAAGTGCTGCCATTCTGAATTCCTGAATTCTATGCATGCATAATTTAAAATAATTTTTATGGAATTATTCTGACAGGCATGCACATGTACCTGTAGAAATTATGACATTGTATAATGGCATGATGTACAAGATTTTGGTGAAATCTGCCCCCTCCCCTTCCCCAAGAAGCAGAACATTTATTCAAAATGCATCCGAGATTAAGGTGGGTAGCACTCTGGGTTGTCTACGCATTTTATCAATAAAAACAGGTACTGAAAGAAAAAAACCAAAACAAAACATGAAAATTAAATGAGGAAAAAAAATCAAACCAAATAAAAAAACAAGTTTCTGGACCACCATTTTACATGTATATATTCCGGCAGCTCCATTTACATGTATAAATCTTATAAGGGAATTTATACACGTACATATGCATTATATAGTGCATGATGTAGTGATTCTGTTTTGACAAGAAAACTTGATACTTTCACTATAGTCAAGCAGAGCTATCATCACCACAAACAATCTCTCATCCCGTTCAAAACAATCCTAGGAATTTCTGTAAATAAACTCAGCCAGGTCCACCACGGAGGGTTTGCAAGTGTACAGGTATTTATTGGAAGGCTACGAGTATACCATACTAGAAGTGTTTGGATTGCTGAAGACCCATGTACATATACTGTTTACCTGTATCTTTCTTTGCCGGGGCTCACATTTTTACAGCCAATTTACGACTCTACCATACATTTCAACCCATGCAGCTCCCTTGGCCGAACCATACCGGAATAACAGGAAGCTGAATGTTGATGAGCGAGTCCCATGGAACAGACGAAGACATAAAAAAT